AGGTTCTGAAAATCACCTGAATTATATAACGTTTATCATCTTTAGGAGACAATGCAAACTTATTTTTCAATTGCGTGTACATATCGTGCATAATTGAGTTAAATATATTCATTTTTCTAAGTTGAATTCTAGAATTTTCAACTACGTCTTTATAATCTTCTTGACTAATTTAATTTTGAATCACATATTTCTTTATTCCTTTTGCTTTCTTTTCTGATCTATTTTTCAAGTTAACACAATACGCTTTAGCACCAGTGCCAAGAAAGCTTACTATCGGTTGTCCAGCAAATTCATCTTTCATACGACCTAGCACCGATTTATTTTTTGTTATGTTATATACCTACGTTATTTTCACAATAGTTAAAAGTGTCAAATTTATCCAAATTTTCTTAAATATCTCTATGAAAATTATTAGTTTTTACATGTAAAATTAGACTATCCGTATCAGTATACAATAAAATTGCATTGTCACCATATTTTTGTTTAATATAATCATAATAAAAATCATATATTACAGTTTTTGATAACTCCAATACAGTAAAACCGACATAAACAGGTTTATTGTATGTTACTTTTACCCTTTCCATTTGAATTGCAACTAGGTTTTCGATGAAAATTAAAGAATTTTTAAAATTTGGTTTGACTATAAGTGATTCTGCACCTTGTTTATTTCTAATACTTTTCCATTGTGTCAATAATCTTATATCTACACGTTTATCGATATTGCCATATACAGGGTGTCCCAAAAAGATACCGACAAACTAAAAGGGGTAGTAGGGGACATCAAAATAAGCATTTTTGTAATCTAAGGTTTTAGGAATGCAGATTGTTTAAATTTAACGCCTCTGTAAAATTTTGTCACTTTTAATCCATTATTGATGGCTTGTTTGAGATTTCTATAATGAATAATGTATTTTTCTTTATGGTTTAAGCTGCAAATTAATTTTATTTGTTTCGAGTCAGGTGGGCATATGTTTTCAACCAAAAAAGGTAATTCATTATGCTTTTCATGTAAATTTAGAGGATACTTAATATCTACTTCAAAAACATAACCATAGTCGGAATCGTCTGGTACAGATAAAACATAAGAATCTAATTCTAATTATTGCTAATCCAAGAAAAATCACTTATTGGTAAAAATTGACTCAATCTATGTCCATACAAATTAGTTGCATCTAAATACATTATAAATGAATTAGGTTCTGTAAAATTGAAATTTGAAAGAAATGGATTATTAGCCTCAACTTTTCGAACACTGCAATGACATATCTCACCCTTAATACTGTTTTTAAAAAAATGCAACATTTCAATATCTGTTAATAATTCCAATTTAACACCTGTAAATTTTAACATAGCATCCCAAGATAAGCCTGGTGCTGTATAGTATTGTGCGGGATCCAATTTAAATATATTAAGGGATATACTGCGAAAAGTCTCAAAAAAATCCGTCAATATAATAAGAACATCGGATAGTAAATAAATTTTAGTGTAATCCATTAAGTTTTGACAATGAAACAAATTCCAAATATTTATAGCTCTTTCATAATCTAAAGGATCTAAGGGCTTATCCTTGAGTTTATCATAAAAATTCTCAAAGGATAAAAGTTGCCTATCACATAATTTATCCATGGTGTCTACATAAAAATATGGATATACTCCTTTCTTTCTAATTTCATTAAACTGGTTTGGATCTTGGAAATATCTTTTAATTTCTACACACTGATTGGAATCCAAGTTTTCACTAAGACTATCCAATGAAGAGGCAACAAAACGAAAAGAGTCTAAAAATATAAGCTTAATAAAAATATGTTTAATTTTTTTATCAGGTTGTTCAATTTTATCTACCAATATCGACTTTGAGAATGAAATATATTTTTCTTTAGTTTGTGCAAGAATATCAATCCTATCATTTTCACAACATATTTGTTTGATAAATAAATGGCTGTCATAGCCTGTTAGGTTGTGAAATAACACTGGAATGTGAGCCGGAAGTTGAAAATTTTAGTTGCAGATACTGTGAGCTCCACCCCTAAATCTACCAGTTAAATGATCATGATCCCTTACTTTTTCATCTAAAGGAATAATTTTTCTGCTGCAAATACTGCAAATGTCACAGTTTTCAAATTCACACTTTTCTTCATTTGTTAGAGGAAACATTGGAATTATATGTTTTAAATAATCATTATACGTCTGCTTCAATGCGCTTCAATTCGTTTACAAAATTCATCAGCTGCGTTTAGACCAAAATAGTAATCTACTACTGATAGAGTCATCATATGAACATTTAATAAAATAAGCAAAAGCATACGGCTCATGTTTGTAGGTATTTATAGTAAAAGAACAGTTATTATTTTCTGATTCCTAAAATTTTAGAGGTTTTGAAACGCATTCAAAGTCAGCATATATTAAAAATGGAACCTTTAACCGTTTTTGAAAATTTTCAAATTGAAGAATATTTTCTGGTATATCTTGACCTTATTTATTGACTCTAATATCAGTTGATGGAATTTTTGTAAACAAATGATTACAATAATTTTTGTGATGTGTATCTAATTTCAGTTTTGAATTGAAATATACTAAACAACCATCACAAAAATATTTTTATGCACTTCAGGGATTAAAAGTACCCTTTTAATCCCGTTTTAAGGCAGTAAAGTGGGTCTTTTAATCCCCGGGATTAAATTTCAATTTATTTCCCGAGGATCAATTTTTACTTTATCTGTTTTAATAAATCCCCGGGAAATAAAGTAAATTGCATAAAATAGTGTATACACCTCAGGACTAAAGTGTTTTTTAATCCCTCGACAAAACCTTAGTAAAAAAAAAGTACCACTTTAGTCCCTAGGTGTATAATGTACTATTTAATCTGTTTACCTTTAATTTGAGCTGCCACTAACCTTGACATGTCCTTAATCCAACAATAATCACTATTTTTACCTACATTGAAAATTAACAAATTCCCATGTGTTGTCAGTTTTTACTCGTATAATGAAGTGGACCTACCACTTAATGTTTAAACTTATTTTCTTCATAAACAGTTTCTAATCTGTATACGTTAATAGATATTTGATTCAACACTTCAAATTTTTTTTAATGTCTTTCATCTTCACTTCGAAATTTAGAATATTAAAGAAATTCGGATATGAACTCGTCCTATCACTGTGTTTTTCAGCTGGAAATAACGCACTTATCACACTCCATCCAAAACAATATTGGTCATTATTTTTAACATTAATTACAGCTTTTCTGTGCTTAATTTGTTTTGGTAAAGGAATATATGAAGAATCTCTAATAGGATTATACTTGTTAACGCTAACTTCTAAAAACAATACTTTTTCCAGCGCCCATCCAGATCCATTTTCGGTGAAGGTTGATACCTTTCCTTGATAACAGACAAAAAACCATTAAAAATTTCTTCAATATCCGAAGTTGTCGTTATAATTTTATTTTTAGTATTAAATGACTTGGTTTCAGTAGTTTCTTTGGAATGTGAAACATATTGACCAAATAATTCAGCATTAATTTTAACAGCTCTGTGTTTTTTTACTTGTTCTGTAACCAATTTTATAAATTTACTTTTAAGTTCGTCAAAAAATTCATCAATATCTATCAGTTTTTTTGATGGAAGCAGCATAAAAGATATAATCCAGCTTTTGGAAGCTGATGTAATAATTTTTACACGATCATCATCATCATCATCATATTCATTTTTCTGAAGTAATGCAGTTTTATGAACATTAGATCGTGAATGTGCACTAGCTTTATTTCTTGCATACCATACATCACATTCCTTACAACGTGCTTGTATAAGTTTTGGTAATTTCGATTGTTGTAAATTTTTTTGTACATTACTTTCTTGTATTTTCGGTTTTTTTGGTGGTTGATCACTTATTTGGGAATCAGCATTTCTTTTGATAGAGAACTGGTCACTAGAACATGATGGTCTATATATGCACGATTCTCTTTTGTATCTCTAAAGATTGTATTTTTGAGTAAAAGTTTTACTACAATCTTACATTGAAACTACTTGGACAGAAAATTTATTCTTCTAAAGTCATACTTTCCATTTCTTTTGCTAATTTATTTGACTGTAGTCCCAAATTCACTATATACATATGATCACAAAAATGTTTAATACTAATTATCTTATATTGTAGCAAATTTTCACACAATTCTATCACTTCCTCAATTAAAAGAATTATTTCTGCATTATAAATTGAAGTACTTTCTGTTTGAATGAATTCATTTAAATGTTCAATAAAAAAAAATTTGAAGTTCCGAAACTGTTGCCACTACTCACGGAGTCAACATTTGTGCTATATTCATCACTCACTAAACTGAACAACTTAATGAAAATCGTATGAAACCGGAGAGTTTGATATACACTAGTCAAAGGAGGAAGAAAAAGGTGGAGCGGGGTATTTGGTAGGGTTGGTGGTGGGGTTAGGAGTGGGGTGGGTGGTGGAGTTAGGAGTGGGGTAGGTGATGGGGTTAGGAGTGGGGTGGGTAGTGGGGTTAGGAGTGAGGGGTATGTGGTGGGGGGAAGAATGATTCCCTAGGTGGAATGACGCCTTACCTTCCACTCTACTGAAGGGCATAACTTTTTTTCTATTATTTATAGAAAGCTGAAATTATCACTGAATCTTATCTCGATAAAGGATCTCTGAAAATTTCAGCTCATTTGGACTTACAGTTCCTGAGATAAAATCGTGTTAAGCAATTTTTCAATTTTTCTGAGTGCCTTTTTTTATAGAATCCGGTTCCAAATCTCAGAATAATTTAGTATATAGAGTTTTGGGGATCCTAAAGGACCATTAGGACACAAAATCTCAACAACAAAAAAAATTGAAATTTCATCATTTTAGTACTGAGGTAGCTATCTTATGATTTAAATTTTGGAAAACTTTGAAAAGTCATAACTTTTTTTCTATTGAAGATAGAAAGCTGAAATTTTCACCGATTCTGTATGTGGAAAATCAATGAATATGTGATTGTTTCAGCTCAAGATTCAAGAGAAAGGAGCGTGAGCGAAAAATCCGAAGTTTTCTCAGAAGACGAGTCATCAGTTCTGGGACAAATGTTGGCAGCCAATTATCCAAATAAGAAGAAACCTATTGTACGGTCTCTCACCGAAGTAAGACCGGACGCTTTTATTTTCGACAACGGACAGCATATCGAGTATAGGTTTTGTGAAGACGCCGATACAAGTCAAGATAAAAAGGAACAACTTGATAATATTTCTGTAGCAGGTGAGGATTTGACTCAGAATTCAATCTTGTCCAACATAAACCAAACCAAAAAATCTCATTAGAGTAGAATCTGAGTAGATGTCACTCAATCAAAATCACTATGTATATGTTTTTTACAGGTAGTAGATCAAAATTGAATCTTCTCAGACAAAGGACAAAGAGTACCGAATCCAAAACATCCTTGGAAAGTGATAGGAATTCGCTGGACATTTCCGCAGACGACATTGCTGCGCTTAGCTTGGACATACTCAGAACCAGAGCGGCTCAGAAGCGCAGAGACAGCGAAACTGCTCGCAGAGGATCCGAAAGCGGAACAGGTAGGATCTTTTCATTGGATCTCGAATATTTAAATTTGAGTAGGTAATGTATAATATATATAATTATTTGGAATGGGTAATTTCCAATAACTTATAGGATTTGAGGGACAAAATTTCCATGCACGTGCTGTATTTAGTAAGGTTTTAGAATTGGCAAATGGTGTACAATAAATATGATATTGCTTTACTAATTACAGCTACACAATTTTTGTATACAATATTGTCTCTTCCCAATCACTATACGAAAAAAACTTTCTCTTAACGCTGCCTAGCATGTGAATTACGGACAACATTTCTAACTCCGAAAAGTTTGTCTTTTTGCCACATTTTCCGGAAAGTAGGTAGGTTGTGGTATCACCCTTCTAGATCCTCATCTATATGGAGTTTCATTTCACAAATAATAGAAAAGTATTTCTATTAGGTATTTTTGTCAAACCATGCTATTGCATGAAAACTTCTCTAGTTCTCATATAAGTAGATGGAAATCATATGGAGTATAGGTTGATCCAGGCTTTTTGATGTTTCATTTTCATGTTTTCTAGTATAATTTTGTTTGTTGCCATATTTCTATAATTATTATCAGGCGAAGAATTATCAACATCGTCAACCAACAAACCAACATTGGGCAGACGCCAGTTCTCGCAAACCCAATCGGAACCGGAAACTACAGATTTGCCGCCTTCGGCTTCGGGTACCATTCCTCATCAGCCCTCTTTCGATCGTAGCGTAACTTTTACGGAACCCAGAATCAAAGTTATACCGCCGAGTGGAAGGAGTAGTATTTTGATGCATATGCATTCGGAGTATACAAGTATTACTGATGAGTTGGAGTCGGTTTGTGGATTATTGAGTCCGCCCAGGAGTCCGGGACTTTTGAGTCCTCCGAGACCCGAACAATCACCACCGAGTAAGTTTTTTGATGGTGGTGATCGACAATTGTGCACTTGTAGTATATAGAATTTGGACAAATTTATTGTTGTAGCTTGCTTATTGTAGTTTTTAGCTTAGAAATGTAGATCAATGTTGTAGCCTTTGTTGTAGATGATTTCAATTATCGAAATTCTCAGGAATTGTAGCTCTGGGTAAAGGGCTTCAAAATGGTAATTTGAAGTTTCAAACAAAATGACAACTGAATTTTAATTTTGAAGCTCAGTATCTCAGAAACTTCAACAGTTACAAATACCAATTATGCACTGCTTATAGAAAATTTACAATGCTTTTTCCATTGATGTATAATTATAGACAAGAAGAAAATTGATTGATTATTTTCGGCTCTTGATCCGAATCAAGCGCCGAGGATCAGTGGCGGCTCGTCAGAGGAGGCAGCGGAGGCTAAGCCCCCAAAAAATTGAAAATTCAATCTCAGTTTTTTATTCCTGATTCCTAATTTAAATAATAATTTACAAATTTCGATATTTCAATGTAATTTAGAAAAATCTGACATTATTTGAATCAATCCCGCGCCTCCACGACAAAAATCTGTGAATCTGGGATACTCAGTAATACGATCCCGAAGGACCGGAGTTATACGCGAGCTTAAAGGGCCGGAGTTATACGCGAGCCCGAAGGGCCGGAGTTATACGCGAGCTTAAAGGGCCGGAGTAATACGAGCCCGAAGGGCCGGAGTTATACGCGAGCCCGAAGGGCGGGAGTTATACGCGAGCCCGAAGGGCGGGAATTTTACGCGAGTCCGAAGGGCCGAAGTTATATGCGAGCCCGAAGGGCCGGAGTTATACGCGAGCCCGAAGGGCTACAGTTATTTTAATCGCGGGGCCCATGCAGTCTATAATAATAATTGGTCAGCGGATAATTTGGAGCCAATCCAAAATCGAGAATATTCAAAATGTGACTTTCAGTCGATATTCCGAGTTTCAGTTTCAAAGAAACATTTTTTCGAGTATTCATGGTTCATGGTCACCCCAAAACAAATTTTGCCTGCTGTGTAGTGGTTACCTTACTGTAATTCCGAGGGGTGGTTAACTCCTTACAATATGTACACAGATTTTAAATCTTTATTGATATTGTAGGATTTTGAAAATCTTCACACAATTTTACAGGATTTTAAAAGATTTTAGATCTTAGGTGATTTTGGAGCATTTTAAAGGATTTTGAAGAGTTTTTAGAGATCCTAAAGGGTTTTCAGAGATTTTTACGAATTTTTGGAAACCCCAAAAGATTTTTGCAAATTTCAAAGGAAATATTTTTTAGGATTTTCAATGATTTTATAAGATTTTGCGGGATTTTTTTTTTTTCTAATAAAATTTCATGAGATTTTGTAGGATTTTATGCGATTTCAAGTGATTTTAAAGAATTTTGTAGGATTTTATGCGGTTTCAAGTGATTTTAAGGGATTTTGTGAGATTTTGTTGAATTTTTAAAGATTTTAAGGGATTTTAAGTTATCTTACGAGTTTTTCTGGGATTTTGACCAACTTGTAAACGGATTTTGACCAATTAACTGCTCCGAGGTTTAGTTAACTCCTAAAAATAATTACACAGATTTGAATCTTTATGGATTTTGTAGGATTTTGAGGATTTTGAAAATCTTCACACGATTTTACAGGAGTTTAGAAGATTTTAGTTTTTTGAGATTTCAGATGATTTTGAAGCATTTTAGGGGTTTTTGAAAAGTTGTTAGAGATTCTAAAGTGTACTTAGAGATTTTAACAAATTTTTGGGGATTCCAATTCCAAAGGATTTTTGTGAATTTTAAAGGAAATATTTTTTAGGAATGTTAATGATTTTATAAGATTTTGCAGGATTTTTTCTTTTGGTTTCAGTAAAATTTTGTAGGATTTTATACGATTTTGTGGGGTTTTGTTAAATTTTTAGGGATTTTAAAGATTTTTAAGGATTTTAAATAGGTAATTCTTACGAGATTTTCTGGGATTTTGACCAACTTGTAGACGGATTTTGACCAGTTAACCGCCCCTCGGTTATTGTGTACTTCAAAAGTTTGAAATTTTGGGAAAATGAGCTTCTAACTTTCCTCTTCTCTTGCAAAAAAATTCAAATTTTTCCTTTCATTAGTTTTCCAGGAAAAATTTTAAATTTGTGAGACGGTATTATAAACTAATTCAGTTTTTGACAGGTTGATTTCCAAGATTCTTGATGTTGTTATTTTCCACTGGAAAAATTTGAAATTTTGGGAAAATGAGCTTCTCACCTTTTTCCTTACATGCAAAAAGTTCCAAAATTTTCCCTTCTCTAGTTTTCCAGGAAAACTTTGAAATGTGTGAGACGCAGTATTTTCAATTAATTCAGTTATTGAAGGTTCATTTCCAAGATTCTTCATGTTGTTATTTTCCATTGAAAAAATTTAAAATTTTGGGAAAATGAGCTTCTCACCTTTTTCTTCACATACAAAAAGTTTCAAAATTTTTCCTTCACTAGTTTTCCAGGAAAACTTTGAAATGTGTGAGACTATATTTTCAATTAATTCAGTTATTGTACGTTGATTTCCAAGATTCTTCATGTTGTTATTTTCCACTAGAAAAATTTGAAATTTTGGGAAAATCAGTCTCCGACATTTCTCTTCACATGCAAAAAGTTTCAAAATTTTCCCTTGATTAGTTTTCCAGGAAAATTTTAAATTGTTTGAGACTGTATTAATAATTATTTCAGTTTTTGTAAGTTGATTTCCAAGATTTTTCATGTTGTTATTTTCCACTGGAAAAATTTGAAATTTTGGGAAAATGAGCTTCTCACCTTTTTCCTTACATGCAAAAAGTTCCAAAATTTTCCCTTCTCTAGTTTTCCAGGAAAACTTTGAAATGTGTGAGACGCAGTATTTTCAATTAATTCAGTTATTGAAGGTTCATTTCCAAGATTCTTCATGTTGTTATTTTCCATTGAAAAAATTTAAAATTTTGGGAAAATGAGCTTCTCTCCTTTTTCTTTACATGCAAAAAGTTCCAAAATTTTCCCTTCACTAGTTTTTCAGGAAAACTTTGAAATGTGTGACACTGTATTTTCAACTAATTCAGTTTTTGTAGGTTGATTTCCAAGATTCTTCATGTTGCTGTTTTCCATTGGAAAAATTTGAAATTTTGGAAAAATGAGCCTTCCATTTTCCTCTTTACATGCAAAAAGTTTCCTAATTTTCCCTTCACTAGTTTTCCAGGAAAACTTTGAATTGTGCGAGACAGTATTTTTTATTAATTTAGTTATTGTAAGTTGATTTCTGATATTCTTCATGTTGTTATTTTCCACTGAAAAAATTTGAAATTTTGGGAAAATGAGCTTCTCACCTTCCTCTTTACATGCAAAAAGTTTCAAAACTTTCCCTTCATTAGTATTCCAGGAAAACTTTGAAATGTATAAGACTGTGAGACTGAACTGAAATAATTGTCAATATTATTTCAGTTTTTGTAATTTGATTTCCAAAATTTTTCATGTTGTTATTTCCCAATGGAAGAATTTAAAATTTTGGAAAAATGAGTTTCTCCCTTTCCTTTTTACATGCATACAGTTTCAAAATTTTCTCTTCACTAGTTTTATTAGATTTTGTAGGATTTTATTCAATTTCAACAGATTGTGGGATTTTGTTAAATTTTTAAGGATTTCAAAGATTTTTAGGGATTTTAAGTAGATCTTATGAGATTTTCTGGGATTTTGACCAACTTGTACACGGATTTTGACCAGTTAGCCACCCCTCGTGTAATTCATTATTTTTTAGCCTCCTTACTTGAAATAGTCACGAGCCGCCACTGCTGAGGATAATCAAAAATTGAAAACAATCAACCAATCAAATCGATTCTGATGCCATTTTGTGATTTCCAATCGACATAATAAAACGATCAAAATTCAAAAAGAAAATGGCGGATTTATGATTTATGATAACAAGTGCCGAGAATTTCCAAAAATTGAATTTAAAGCCAATCAAGAACCGGAAATATTTAAACATTGAATTGTAAAACATCAAATTAGGCCAATCAAGAGCCAGGAATAATTAAAAATTTAAACATTGAAGCAAATCAAGAGCCGGGAATTTCAAAAAATTGAATTTCAAAGCCAATCAAAAATGTATAATTCAATTCAATTCAAATTCAAATGTGTTTCAGATTCAAGAAAACGCAACGCATCCGAAATGTCCAACCCGGAAATAGCGATAAACTTTGAAAAAGAGCATCTCCGTAGTGCAGAAGAATCCGACTACATGGTAATGGAAAATCTCATCCAGAGACGTTACGAGCACGAGCTCGAAGAAGAATCCGAAGAAACTGAAAAGGAAGATTTGGGCGAGGGAGGCAGTAGCGCCCCTACATCGAAAAATCCGGCCTTGTTGAGCGTAGTTGCTGAAACTAGAGAGTTTAGGTAAGAAGTTTTCCTACACACCCTATAAAAATTGCTATAGTGATTAATTTTCTAGGGTGAATTCTTGGCCAGGAAGACAGCAAACTCTGAAACGATCTCAGGCAGTTGACAGTGACTCACCCTCTACACAGGGTCTAGGTACAACTTATTTCTTTCCTACTACTGCTGAAGATGGGCAAATGGCTTAATAATATTTATTTTATGTTTTGTATTTTTGTTGGCTACTTTTTACAAAAGTATCTTAAAGCTTTTATGTTTTTTTTTTTGCTGTACGTCTATGCAATGCTTTTTTATTATTATTTATGCATAATAGAAAAATATGATAAATTGCTTTTGTTTTTGATTTGTTTTACCCCCGTTTAGGTTCAAGTTCCAATTCTTCGACCGATCGTCAAGATTCGACCGAGTCCAAGTCGAGCGGCGCTTCGGGTGGGCTACAAACGGCACTTAAAAGGCCCACCATTGTCGTAGATTCGAAAAATTTGCCCACTTTGCGTCAAAAGGCTGATTCCGATATTAGTTTACACATGCAATCTGAAACTATGTGTTAAATTCTGTAACCATTTTTGCTTTAAATTTTTCAATTTTCACACCCCATACTTCTTTTACGACAATAAAAATAATCAAAGTGAATTGTGTAAAATAAAAATATGATTCTTCAGCTTGTTATTGAACAAGTACTTACTTTATTAATATTAAATTTAGGCGAATTTATTCAATTACTATTGTGATATTTTTAAATAATTTATAATAACTTATAGGTTTTTATTTTTTTTAATTAATTTATTGTTTTTGGGAAAACTATGCTTTGCATAATTGACAATACCCAAAAAATTATGTATTGTGTTGTAGAGCTCAAAATTTTAGTGCTCAAAAGGAAAATCTTTGTAGCAATAAAGGTTGTGTGTGTAAACTTTTTTCATACCTATCTCTCAATATTGTAATCATTAATTAAGAATTTATTGTAGAATTTAATCATATCTGCAACAAAGATGAAAAAAAAAAAAGGAATTTTACCACTTTATATAAGTACAATAATAAATCAAAATAATATTGTAAAAAAAGATGAGCATATCACAGAAAACTTTATGTTTGGAGCAAAAAAATAGTATATATTTTGATTGTAGTTTAGAAAAAGAAAATTTCAACAATCTAGATTTTAATTAATTGTAAAATGGATAAAAAGGAATTTAAAATATAAATAAATAGGTAATAATTATTGTAGTTTTATTGTAACAGAGAATCAAAAATATCTACTAAGCAAGTGTCTCTTTATTGAATTAAAAAAATACACGCAGCTGCAAAACTGTTGAAGCTGTATTGGAATTTTTAGTTAGAGATTTGTAGAGAATTTAACTAGCCTCAATTAAAGCCTAATTACGTCAAGATCGGATTGAAATTAACAAAGTTGGGAGGCAAAACATGTGTCGATATCATTTTGGAAAAAATACAATTTCCAAAAAAAAATCAAAGGTGAAGGAGTTTGAAGAAGCTACATTAAAATTATCATATAGAGATTTGTAGAGAATTTAATTAGCTTTAAAAGTACGTCAAGATCGGATTGAAATTAATAAAGTTGTGAGGCAAAATATGTGTCGATGTCATTTTGAAAAAAATCAAATTTCTAAACAACAACATTGAGGAACGTATTATTTTTCTTTGAGAAAAATATTCGGGGGATTTAATTCAAATTTTGCAAATAGATGTGGCGGGAGTGGACTGTATATTTTTAAAGTTTATTGGTTGAAGAAAGTAGGTATATCCTGTGAGCCTCTGTTAAACTGGTTAAAGTTAAACACTTCTATTGGGCGAAAAGCATTTAACCAATAAGTTTATTCAATAGCGAAAAGTACAATAATTGTCGCGCAGTTTGACTGGCACGCATACAGTATACACTGATTTTAATAATTCAATATCACTAATCCCACTGCACAAAAAATATTCGTTGCCATATCAAATTTACTACAGAACTATGGAACGTTGTTTTTCTAAAGAATAATAGATGTCCGCGAACTACCGGCAAGACTCTACTTTTTGGAAAACTAGAAAAACAGGAAGGCCTTCAATTGAGGATTGCCTCAATTTGGCATAATATAGTATAGAATTCTTCGAGAGTTAGATTAGCGTTACCAATGAGTCTTCTCATGTGGTATTTTGCGCTTTTTATGGCTGATTCCCACAGACCTCCCCAATGGGGAGATCTTGGAGGAATAAATTGCCAGGTAGTCTGATTTTGGGATAAAAATTCATTTATTGCAGAAGAGTTTTCTTGTTTCTGGAAAAAGATGTAGATATCTCTCAAGTAATTTCTGGCTTCACAAAAGTTGGTGGCATTATCGCTAAAGATGGTTTTTGGATTTCCTCTTCTGGAGGTGAACTGCTTGAGTGTCAAAAGAAATAGCTCTGCTCTGTGGAAAGACCTGTTACAACTTCAATGTGTATGGCTTTACTAACCATACACACGAAGACAGCAATGTATGCTTTAATTTGAGGAGATTTTCATAGCCCAGATGACTTAATGAGAAACGGACCACCGAAATCGACACCGACTTTATGAAAAGGTCTACACATATCTACCCTATCGCGAGGAAGACTGGACATTATTTTGTTGGGCGGCATGATTATTAAATCTGAAACAGATCGTGCAATTTGTTATGATCCTTTTTATGTCTCTCAGGCCATTAAGTAGCCAGAACCGAAGACGGACATTACTTAATGTAGTTTGAGATCCGGCGTGTCCCAAACGCCTATGCTCATAATTCGTCGCTAATCTGACAAAGGGGCGTAAGGTACAAATTGATAATTTTACAGGATTGCCATTTGAAAAAAAAGGTTGTTAATTAAGAAGCTATCACTCTGTTCGGTTATATATTTTTCTATGCACAGATATTTATCGAGGCAGATAAATTGTCATAGACTCAGGCTAATATAATAGATTTTCCATATCGTTTAGATGTTATACAAAAATTAGTACCCAATGGACATACGCCCCTTTGTAGGATCTTCATTAAAATAATAATGACACATACGCCAGTATGATATTTATGCCAATATTGTATTTATAGCTTTTATTCTAATTACCATACTCCAGAAAAAACGAGGATAGAAATTGAAAAATAAAATAAGATTCAGAGTATACGGAAACAAAGGTAGAAACTCAAATAACACTAGTTTTCGTGAGGAAAATCTCTAAAAGATTTTTGGAAAGTTGGGACCTTCACTAGTATGTTGGTCCTTTACAAAAGTCCATAAAACACAAGCAGATTATGGAGAATAAGGTGAAACAAATTAAAGGTAAATTCTTAATGGTGGAAATTTGAAGAGTTGGGTTTCCTAAATAATATACTAAAAGTCCCATCCAATCTGACAATGGCAAGTTTTGAAAAATCGCGACCATTATGAATTTTTGAAGTTTTCGGATTTTCTTTCAAAACATCAGGATTTTTTTAAAACTTTGAAGTCAGGTACATTTTTTCAGTGTATTTCTTTTGATTTTTTGAAATATTCTCTATACTTTGTATTCAGTTCACAAAGTTTAAAACTTGATTTGCAAGTATGTTATCTAAAATATCCTTAGAGCAGGTAATTTCCTAGGTGGGAGGAGTAGCAACATGGAGTTGGAAAATGAAGCAGTTTTTTTCCACGTATTTTGAGATCCAAAATAATGGTGGTATAGCTAATCTAATTTAATGCTTTATTTGTCATTTTTGGTGTACAAAAATCTGTGAAAAACTGGCTTCATTTTCAGTTCAATAGCAGAATGGCCCGTTCCTACTCCTGGTGTCCGTAGGACATTCTTTACCTGCTTTAAAAAAAATAACCATGCCATATTGCTCAAGACGCTAACATGACTATAAATCGGTCAATAAATAAATGCCTACTAATACGATATCATTACTCACGAATGGGAATCTGTATAGTGAAATCTATATTTGCAAATCTGCATTTGCAAAAATGTTTATTGAGCTGTCATTTTCAAAGGTTTCTGTTGAATGTTTCTCATTCTCAAGAACTTTTGGTAGATTTGTTATTTGGTTTCTGATTTTCAAACATTTCTGTTGAATGTTTTCTTATTCACGTGAAGCATTTATTAGCGTGGTTTCTCATTCTCAAAGAAGTCTGTTGAGTTTGGTGGCATTCTTGAGAATCTGTTATTAGTTTTTAATTTTTTCATTCTGAGGAATCTCTGTTGAATCTGTCGTAGTTCACCATTCTCAAAAAACAAAAATCTCTGTTGAATCTGGCTAGTTTGTTTTTTATTTGCAAAAATATCTTTTGAGCTGTTCTCCATTTTTACAGATTTCGGTTGAATGTTTCTCATTCTCAAGAATCTTTGTTAGATTTGTTGTTTGGTTTCTGATTCTTAAATATTTCGGTTGAATCTTTTCTCATTCTCAAGAATCTCTGTCGAATTATTTGGTGTGGTTTCTAATTTTGAAAGATGTCTGTTTTGATCGACATTCTTTAGAATTCGTTATTAGTTTTTCATTATTTCATTCTGAAGAATCTGTCGTAGTTCCCCATTCCCAAAAAATTAAAATCTCTGTTTAATCTGGCTAGTTTGTTTCAAACTTGCAATAATATCTTTTGAGATGTTTTTCATTTTTAAAGATCTCTATTGGATTTTTCTCATTCTAAAAAATCTTTGGTAGATTTGGTTTCTGATTTTCAAATATTTCGGTTGAATGTTTTCTCATTCTCAAGAATTTCTGGCGAATTTATTGCGTGGTTTCTTATTCTCAAAGAATTGTCTGTTGAATTTGAGAATCTGTCATTAGTTTTTCATTCTGAAGAATTTCTGTTAAATCTGTCATAGTTTCCCAATCTCAAAGAATCAGAATCCCTGTTGAATTTGGCTGGTTTGTTTTTCATTGGCAAAAATATTTGTTGAGCTGTTTTTCTTGAAGATCTCTGTTGTTTGGTTTCTCACTTTAAACAATTTCTGGTGAATTTCTTGTGTGGCTTCTCATCCTCAAAAATGTCTGTTGAGTTGGTTATCATTCTCGAGAATCTGTCTTGTAGATTTTCATTCTAAAGAATCATTAATCATTAGATCTGTTAGCTGTTTCCCATTCACATAAGTATGGTACTCTCTTCTATTTATCGTTTGCATGCGCTTACTACTTCAAGGCCCAGTTTATTCATCTTATAATAAACTGTTAGAAAATACAATCTCAGGGATAAAAATTGGGCCAAAATAATCAAATCAAGTCAAAAAAGGGTTGAAGAAAACCCAACTAAAAAACAACACAAACCTACTTAATACAAAAATCAAGAATAAGATCTAATTATAGTTTGTTTTTTTTTTGGAGGAAATAATTTTAGGTTTTTAACTAAAAATGGTAGCCATTTTTTTCTAACTTGCCATTGCAATATTTTAAGCTCGATTTTATGGGACTTTTATTATGTCATCAATGACCATAAAAACAATACATTTTCGTTGAAAACCCCAGTCTTTAATCTGTTCCGCCCCAACTGCCAATTTGACCACACTATAGATACATACTTTTTACATCTTTGTAAAGGTTGTGGTATGGTATTTAAGGTATTTTTCTTGAGAGAGAAAGTTCCAGAAACGCTGATTCGATTGTTTTTTTTTATCAATCGCGTATATTGATGAAAGATGAAAAACAAAAAGCTGGTGATCGGGTTAATCGGAGCAGCGTTTCCAAAAAATATGCAATGTAGGTTCTAACAAAATGGCGTAAGTCTAATATTTGGATATACGCCTTTCAGTCAGATCCTATATGCAATTGCTGTGTACTTACGCCTTTAGCTGATTTTATGTATAGAGAAAAGTAATACCTTTGAGCATACGCCCTCTTGTCAAATCATACATACAACTCTAAGAAATCACTCGGCGACCTTAACTCCAATATGGAATAATTGACCGTTACGCCTCTTTGTCAGATCAGCGACGATATGTGAGAATGAGATTAGTAATAATGTTCCTTGAAGGAAGAATAAGAGGGTGTTTTTGTTGATATGAAATATTGGCATGGTCTAATCGACCTCCAACCTTTAGAATACCAAACTTGTCAAGAATAGTTATTTATGTATCAAGGGTACTAAGTAGATGATTATGCCCTGAGGGCGACAGTCTTACAAAGCCGAGGGCCTCTGGCCCGAGGTTTCGTAAGTCGCCCGAGGGTATATATATATCTATTAGTACCCGTGGTGCATACAAACTTTTATGTCATACCAGTTGGTTGTGAATAA